GGTGCCCGGGTGCCTCCCAGCCTGATGCCTTTGTCCCCCGAGAGCCCCGTCAGGACCCCTAGCTTTGTGCTGCTGGGTTTCTGGAGAGACCTGGGTCAGTAGATCGTAGTGTCATCAGATGGTTTGGCTTGGAAAGCACCTTAAAGATCACCTAGTCCCATCCCCTACTAGACCAGGTTGCTCCAAGCCCCATCCAGCCTGGCCTTGGACACTTCCAGGGAGGCAGTAGCCATAGCTTTCCTGGGCAAACGTGCCCAGATTGTATCCAGGGGACACCAATGAAAACCATGAAAACACCCACATTATTTTTTTTTTTTTAAAAAGCAATTAAAGGATTAGGTGGCATTAACACCATTAACTGTGTGCATTTCAGAAGTGAAGGACCTGATTTTTCCTGAGGCGACTTAAATTCATCCTTCTTGCTTCCCAGAAGGGAGAACTGAGGACTCGGCTATAGACCACACTTAATTTGGCAGGTGGGATTCAGATGGACACAACAGCATGTTATCCCTTTCTTCTTTCAGATTCAGCTGAAAGAAATCCCACATCAGCTGAGTGATTCCACGGCCTTTGGGTCTGTGATGTTTGCTGAAAGGGGAATTCTGCCTCTGAAGTGTCAGTTCATTCTTACCAGGACTCTAGGCCTAGATTTTAGTTTTGGGAGACATGCAAGTTCGGTGTAACACTTGACTACCTGCAAGTCAACTGTGCCTATGCTGTTTTCCAGTGTAAATTATCTATCTGAGAGATTTAGGTGGAAAATCAAAGTAGTAAGATTTCCTGTGGAAGATATCTTGTGTTCTATCAAAATGACAAATCCTATTCCATTATTGCAGTGGTATTCAGGTGCTTGCTACACTATTAATTTTTATAATAACTAAGTTGTTTATGTCCTCAGGATATTAATATGAATTAATCACAATCACTGTTTTCCAGCTGAGTTTCAGAAGTGACTTGTTCCAGAGGATTGATGAAAAATGGAAACCTGAGGGGAACTGTGTGGAGTATCAGTACAGTCCACATGCAGGATTGGACTGAACAGTGTCTGGTTTTGTAGTTAAATTATGCTGTTAAGCAAGAAGTTGGGAATATTTGCTTGAAAATTTGTATCAATTACAGATAGGGAAATGCTGTGTGAGAGTTCTACTGGGATCTTACTTTGAGTTAAATAACTGAGTTCTTAACAATAAAGTGTTTGGGAAGGGCAGAGGGAAACTGGGGCAGGGCAGTACAACCCAATGCAATGTGAAATTATGTGTCATGCTGTTAGATAAGGAATGCCAGGCATAGTCAGGAACAGTGAATATCTTTTAATCATATGATCAGAATTATTGCTGAATGTTTACTAGGAAGCAAATGCTTTAGGCTACAGTGTGCAGTGGTCACCATCTCATGCAGCTGATGGATGGGATTTGAGTGGTGTTTCTTGTGTCTTCCATACTTCATGCTGTTTGCACTCAGCTAGCAGTGGTATTTGACTGGAAAGGACAGGTGAGTCTTGCTTGGAAGATGCAGGATTTCCAGTGGCTCCCAGCTGTGCTACTGAACCTTTCAACTGCCTCTTTGCAATCCATTCAAAAGCATAAGTAGTTAATTAGAAGAGCTTAAACTGCACGTTAGCTTGTATTCCTTCTTGTTTGTAACGCTGTGCCTTTAGTAGTCAGTGTCAGATTTAGTTGATCAGTAAGAGCTTGGTTATATAGGGAAGTTAGGATTAGGTCAGAGATGGGATAAAATGTTGGGAACCTGATGTTCCTGCTCTTTGACTCCTGATCTGACACACCTTTAAAGCAGCAAAACCTTTTAATGGATATACTTCTGTATCTGAAATGCAAAGCTTATTTGCTGGTTCCTCCACTAGAGATTGTACTTGGCGTATTTAGGAATCCCTTACTGAGTGCTGGGGCTGAGAAGCTGTGATGGTTTCTAGCTGGTCCCCTCTCCCTGATGGGACCTGTGCAGGAACAGAGTCCTCCAGTTCTAGTGTGGACTTCCTGCAGAAGAGGAGTAATGCTCCAGATGTTTCAGTGAGGTACATAAATTTTTTGTGGAGATGGACTTTGCTGTTCTTGAGTTGAGAACTGCCCCTGTTTACATCTTAACTCATATCAGACAGAAGGTTTCTCACAGGACAGTTTCTTGCCACTTAGAAAAAATACTTGAAAAGTTGACAGATTTCAAGAGCAGGAGTTCCTGCGTATTGGGGGCAGGGAGAAATAAGAGAGGTCTGGAAGTGGTGTTTGGATAAAGAGTTCTTTTGCAAACTGTGTTCTAACCAGCCAAGTGTAGTGTCTCATTTCCCATCTCTGAAATTAGAATATCAATATAATTGATAGGTAAAAGGTCTCGTTCCTATGTTTGGAGTGCTCAGTGTTAGTAAGCAAGCTGCATAAATATACAAGAAATATTTTAGCTACTCATTTAAATTATGGCTTTGACAAACAGGTTAATGCAAATAAATCTTCTGTCTCTGCTCAGCAGGTGCCACATTGCCTCTGAAGAGGGGACAAACACCTTCCAGAAGAGCCATGAACTGTTACTGGAAAGTCCTGGCCATTTTTTTACTGTTTCTCCCAGCTGCACTGTTTATCCAGCCAGCACGGCCCAGAGTGTTGCTGGTATCATTTGATGGATTTCGATGGGATTACATCTATAAAGTCCCAACTCCCAACTTCCATTATGCCATGGAGAATGGTGTCCATGTCAAACAGGTCACTAATGTGTTTATAACAAAAACATACCCTAATCATTATACAATGGTGACTGGTCTCTATGCAGAAAGCCACGGTGTAGTTGCTAATGAGATGTATGATCCTATTCTGAATGAAACTTTCTCTCTGGACAATATGGATACCCATAACTCCAAGTTCTGGGAAGAAGCCAGCCCAATATGGATAACAAACCAGAGGGAAGGACATAAAACTGGAGCAGCTATGTGGCCTGGGACAGATGTGAAAATACATGGAGTCTTCCCTACGTATTATATGCCCTACAATGAATCTGTTTCCTTTGAAGATAGAGTTGCTAGGCTTATTGACTGGTTTACATCAGAAGAACCTATAAACTTTGGTCTCCTATATTGGGAACAGCCTGATGAGATGGGCCATATTCTGGGCCCAGAAAACCTGCTTATGGGAGAGGTAATTAGTGATATTGACAAAAAGCTGGGATATCTTCTGTCTGAACTGAAGAAGGCAAAGCTGTGGGATGTGATAAATGTCATAATCACAAGTGATCACGGAATGTCACAGTCCTCCTCGGAAAGGCTCATTGAGCTTGATCAGTATGTGAGCAGAGAACTCTATAAAGTCATTGACCATTCTCCTGTGGTAGCAATTTTGCCAAAAGAAGGTAGGAGCTATAGCAATAAAATTATCTGAATACTTTAGTATCAAAACTTAATAGGGTTCATTCCTTAACTGAAATGTTGGTTGCAGCAGTGATGCCAATAGGACATAAGCCTTGAACAAGGAGTACTTGCAGGACCACTCCTTTTTCCTTTTTCCTAGCTCTGTCAAAATCCTGGATTAATTTACTGAAATGAAAAGTGAGCAGATTTGTCTGTTGTTGATGAACGTTGCCAAGTATCATTAGTCCTTATGAGGAGAAAGATAATCTAACAGTGATATCAAGGAAGAATGGTGTATCTAGATATCTACATATCTGGCTTTTCATCTAGATGCTAAAGCCAAAGTGGAAGAATTAGGTTTCAAACTAAACAGTAAACTGAAACCAGATGGGAACATTTGATAAAAAGAAAGTCTCTGTAGGCTATTTGATTAGCTGCCAGCTATTGTAGTTCACTTTAGTTTTTTTTCCCCCAGCCAGTTGTGTTGATGTCATTTTTATTGTGATAATGATGGCCAAGAACACGGCTGGAATAAAAATCTGAAGTCTGGTTGCAGTCACTGAAGGGTTGCTTAAGGATCAGGTGTATATTGACTATCATTAAGTGCTGCTTTGAATAGCATTTTTTCTGTAGGCAGGGCTGCTAATTTGGAAGTTGAGTTTAAAGATGGCCTTCTGAAAAGGTTTTTCTTAAGATTTCTGTAACATTTGCATCAGTAATGGATAGCACTCCATATTTAATGCCCCAGCAGGGAGGCTATTTTGCAGACTTAAAGAACCTTTACATATGTAAACAAAAATTTCTTGTCATTTTGAGTTTGAAGAATACACTAAACTAAAATGTTAGTCTTTCCAAACTGAGATAATTTGCTGCCTGAGCGCACTCATGTGCTCACAGCTGGGTGTTGTGTCTCTCAGTGGTGACAGAAGAGTTGAGTTTGGGAGCTCCATCCTAATGGAGACAAGCATAGTTGACCAAGATGTTCTCATTACCAAATAAAGGAGTTGTAAAAGTAAACTGCTGAAACATCCCTAATGCAGTAAATGAGAAATTCACAGTGTGAAACCTGACTCTTCTGTCTGCTAAATGCTGAAAACAAATATACTTATGTACCTAAGACTGATTCTTCAACAGTTATTCTATTTGTCTTGCTTAAACCAGGGGAATGGTAAAACTTGGTGAGACAATGAGAAAAAGAATGAATGCTTATAAATGCAATTATTTCTGCTACTTTTAGTGTCTGGCTGCATATTTTTTCCCTGAGAGGTGGATTAAAACCACATTACAGTATTAGTCAGGGTTCAAGAAATTGTATGTTCATGAAGATGGTACCTGTGACACAGCTGGTGATGCTGGCCTTTTTCTTGCATTTGATATCAGAGAATCATCAGGATTGGAAAGGACCTCTAAGATCACTGAGTCCAATCATCAGCACACAGAAAAAAAGCTACCAAAAAAAACCCCAAATCCCAAACAAAAACCCCACAACCTTGGTCACTAGAGCATGTCCTGAAGTACCAAATGTACATGGCTTTTGAATCCCTTGAGAGATGAGACTTAACCACCTTCCTGGGCAGGCTGTTCCAGTGCCTGACCACTCTTTCAGTATAGAAATTATAGAAATATATTTAATTCAAATAATTATTTTAGTGTAAAATGATAGTTTGCTGTGTTTGGGGCTGCTTCTCCCTGTTATCCCAGGTAGAGAACTGGCATAACAAAATTAATTTTTGGAAATACTAGATCAGAGTTCCTTTTCTTGTTGTTGTAGCTATCTCTGTCATATCTGGACTTTTGCTGTCTCATCTTGACTTCTTTTTTTTTCCTAAATTTTAGTGAATTTTTAAAAATTTATTTATTTATTATTTTTTTTAAGGTAAGAAACATGCGTTAATCTGTTTCCAGTTTTCCTCTGGAATTTCTCTACTGGATCCTAGGAATGGAGGGGGCAAATTAAGATGATTTCTTTGAAGACATTGGGCACCTCCTCCCAAACTTTTTTTGTTCCTGAGATATATTCAGAACTCCATGCACACTGTAAATGGTAGACCAGGTTTTTTTCCTTGGTTTACTGCAGGAGGTGTCTCGAGTAAAAGTAATGACTTCTTGTCATCAAGGCAATTGTTTCTCAGAACAGAGGAGAGCTCACTCACAGGAACACCTGCAGGGTGTACAGCTCACTGTGAAGACACAGCTAGTGAGAAATGTTAAATTAAAATGACAGGATGTGCTTAAATCCCACTTGTTTGCTAAAAATGGCAGTGTCGGCCACAAAGAAACTAGCACTGAAACTGCAGAGACCAGCTGTAAACTCAGCTGTCTGACTGAATAGTGCGTGTGTGTAGCACAAAGTACTTCAGTAAGTGATGGAGCTGAGATACTTGGTGTGCAAGAGAAGCCTGTTGCATACACTGCCTGGCCCTCAGTAGGAATCTATGCTTCTCCAGAGGAAGATGGGGAGGGTTGAAGAGTCTTTTATGTTTCTGTCTGTCCTAGTTCCTCCTTTCTATGCTCTGATGTCCCAGCTTGTCCAGCTGCTTTTTGGCTGTTTAAGGTCCTTTACTGGAAAGCTTGCAAACTGGAAATATGGAAACAAAGAATTGGAGGTGGAAAATGCCAATTTATTTGATAGCCTTGGTACAACTCTTGAGGTTTTTTGCTATGCAGTAGAAGAGTAGGGGAAGGAGCAGACACAAAACATAACAAAGGAGTTGGCAGAGCTGTTAGCCCTTCCTGGATACACAGATTTGCTAACAGTTCTAGATCCAAACTGCTATCTTAATCTGCCAGTCCGACTTGTCCCTTAGTATGTTTGTCATATCATGTCCCTCCCTGCTTAGTCCTTTGCAATCTTTGTACAGCTCCTAATCTGTTGGTGGCATCTGGACTGTGACCCAAGGGCTTCCATTGAGAGGTTACTGCAATCTAGTTTTGCTTATCCCTAGGCAGTGAATTGCCAGCACTAGGATCTTACATGGGGCATAACAACAAACTAGGGACTCTTTCTAAATTGGCTAAACTTGTTATCCAAATGGTAGAAGATCAAAACTGGGAATCAAGTGAAGTTAAATATGTATCTGTTTATTGGAGGATCTTGTAGCAGAAGAAATAAATGGTTGGGTTCACTCAGAAATAAGTTTTCAGAGATGCTTAAAACCAAAGTGGCTGCTGTCTTTGGGCTTTTAAAGGAAAACAACTAACAAACTGCTTCAGAATAAATAAATAGTGTCACTTGCCAACATAGCCAACTGAGGAGAAAACAGAATTTGTGTGCACTACTTCATAAACAGGTTTAGGAGGTATCTTCTTGCTTTCAAGCTTTACATGGAGCTAATTTCTTTTCTGTGAGACTTAACTGAACTCAATTTGTGTGAGAAGCTTACATTCTGGGAACCATGAAATGAGGGATTATGCTAAAATTAGCAAGGTGTTTATCTCTTGGGAATAGACTGTGAAGTCTGATGCCAGGTGTGAGCTGTGAATGAGCTCTGGATTTCTCACAGTAATTTCTCCACACAGTGTAATCCACTGTTGTCTCTTCCAGCTATAATTAGCTTTTCAGGAAGTGCCTTTTATCCTCTTCATTCAGCTGTGTTTAAACTACTGATGAATTTAGTAAATATATTGGTATGTTTAAATTTTTTCTTATTTTCTTTTTTTGCTTGTTTGAAGGCAAACTGGATGAAGTATATGAAGCCCTGACCAATGCTCATCCCAACATGACTGTATATAAAAAGGAGCAGATTCCAGACAGATTTAATTACAAACACAACAGCAAAATTCAGCCAATCTTAGCAGTGGCTGATATAGGATGGGAAATTGTATATAATAAGTCTGATGGTTTTCAACGTAAGTATTCTGTCTTTACAGTGTTTTGCCATATCTGCCTGTTCAGAAGCTTTGTATGTTTTTTTCCCTCCTACTTTCAACCAACGTTAGTTTTTTATTGTTTTTTTTTTCCAAAGACTGGAAGGGAAAACTCTGGATTTCCTGATGGGATGGCACCATACTATTAGGAGAAGGGGAACTGGACTTAGCGTTTCTAAAAATTAAGCTTACTGAGATAAGATCATTCACATGTTTTAGTGGCCACATAGCTGAAGTCTTGCAAGATCTAGCAAACTGACAAGCACTTCCTGAGAAAATTTTAAAAAATAAAAGAGTTGTAACTATACTTGTTGAGTAGAGGATAAATAGCATTATTTTATCATGTACTATTTGCTGAAGAAAGGTTGAATTTGGAAAGGCAGGAATGCTTTCTGAAAGCCCTCATCTTCTGTGGATGACCAAACTTATGGTATCCTTGTTCTACTGCTGGAGTCTTTGAATATTGTGTTAATGCACACCTGTGATATTTGTTGGCTTTATAGGATAAGATGCATTCTAGGTGCTTTGGTAGTAAACCCCCCACTTTTTAAATTACCTTGGGGTTTTGCGATTTATTTTAGGTAGAATGGAGACAGTAAACTGTAACTTTTGGTCAGTTGGGAGGAAAAAATATAGATGTCATATGGTAAATTTTAAAGTTTTTATACTGAAAACCTTTTAAACTTTGCTGCTGGTTATGAAACCTAAGAGACTGCAAGATTCTGCAAGACTCCCAGAAGTTTTTCAGCTGTTGATAGTTGATGAGAGCAGCTGTTTGTGCCTACATGTTTATTCACTTGTTCGGAGTTTTTAGTGCCCCTGTAAGGAGGAGGCAGTGGAGACCCACTCATGGGATCTGTAAACCTTTTCCTTCTCCAAGAGTAGATAGTGCACAAAGCTGGACAAGGTGTCCAGCCACTCAGAACTTATGGTCTGTCTGCTACTAAGAGTCGAACAGTCTGTTTCTAAATGGATTAATTGATTTATTTATCCTAGGAGATCTGGTCCAGTTGCAAAATTGGAGTTTTCCTTGAGGAAAATTAAGGGAATCTCTGTGTAACCTAGTATGCCATTGACAGTGCTGTTCCTGCCATGTGAATGTTACCTTTTTTAATTATTTTTTTTTATTTTTTTTTTAAATAGTGCTGTCACATACGGAGTGATACACTTCATTCATATCACAGAAGTAGCAATATGTTTACTGATATAAAGCAGTGATTTAACAAAGTTTGATAGTAGATGTGACAGTGGTTTCACAAGATTTGCTGGCAAAGTGCACTTGATTATTTACTGCATGGAGGACAGGGATCAGACAAAACTGTCAGGGAGACCCATCCGTTGAGTTGCAAGGCTCAGAGTGGACCCCCTTGCTTTCTAAACTCCTTCTCAGAGAGGAGATTAGATGCAGTTGGATCCAAACTTAGTGCCAGACTTGGTCAGAAGTGCTCTTCATTTGTTTTTTAAGGCATCTTCTCTTTGTAGTTCTGAGGCTTGATAATTAGCTAGGAGACATTTTTGCTCTTGATCAAAATGTTTCTTCTAAACCTCTGCAAGAAGAATTTATGACTGTTCTTTTTCTGCATTATGCTAATTCTAGGAAAAGGTTCAATGCTTGTCTTGCAACTTTGAAATATTGACCTTTATCTTTTCTTTCTAGTTGGTAATCATGGATATGACAACATCTTACCAGAAATGCATCCCATTTTTGTGGCAGTTGGGCCTGCTTTCAGAAAGAATGCCACCAAAGAAGCTATGAATGCTACAGACCTGTACCCCTTATTGTGTCATCTACTTGGTATTAACCCACTGCCAAACAATGGTTCCTTCAATGCTGTGAGAGATATACTTGCTGAAGAAGTTCCTGTAACCTTTGGAGCAGACACCTATGCTACTGCTGTAGGAGTCTTTCTGGGCAGCTTCCTTGTGATGGTTTTTATTGCAGTTTTTTTTAAGCATTTTATGTACACCCAAGGAAACACCATGCAAATGCAACATAGTGAAGCTGCCCAGCCACTGTTGCAAGACTCGTAACACTTGGTACTACTTCCTGGTTGATGCTTAAACTAAACTTCTACAAAAATATGAATAGAGGTGGATCAGCATAGACATATGGAGGAAAAGAAACTGGATGCTGATCCATTGGTACACTGGAGTACGTATGTACCAGGTATGCAGAGAAAGAGCATGTTTCTGTTTCATCTACAACCATGTCATCTTGCAGGGGTTAAAAATTCTGGGTAAACCTGGAAAACTGTATATGTGTGTAGATATGTGATGACAATAAATCTTGGGTACCTCACTCTGAGCTGCTTTTAGGGAAAGATCATCATCAGAGGTGCACATCACAGACTACACGTGATTTCATTTCCCAGGGGGTTTGTTTGTTTGTTTGTTTTTGAGACAGAGGCTATTTTACATCTGTACGAAGTCACTGTGTGTTACTAGACTTCATTTTTTTCTTCCCTGCCCAAGGAAGCTTTTGCATGGACCACCATTACATACAGATAGCTTGATGGATTAAATCC